GTTATGTCATTATGTCAAAACAGAACTAAAATATTGAGGTTATGTCCATATTACTGTTGATGTTAATGTTATTATGTCAAAAACAAAAATACTGTCGAGGTTACGTTTGTATTCATTTGATGATGTTACTAAAAAATAAATTATGAAATATTATAAAAAACGAAAAGTTCAATAGGTCACGTATTTTGATTTACTTACATGACAGTAAATCAAATTTGATCAAAAAATCAAAATTGATTAATTTTACAGTTCTAATGATGTATCAATATAATATATAGAAAGTTGTGTCATTATGTCAAAAAATTACTAATAAGATTAAGTTCGAATTCAATTGACAGGTATTATAATTTATAAATGCAACATAAAGAAAGTTATGTCATTATGTCAAAACTAAAACAAACATTCTATTGAGGTTATGTCCATATTAATTTGGCAGCTATACTATTGTAACATGCAGAAACAATAATTGTTACTAAAATTTAAATATCAAATATTATTAAAAAAAAGTTTAAAAAGTCATGTGTTTTGATGTATTGTTGAGGTTAAGTTGGAATTCAATTGACAGTTTTAATAATTTACAAATGTAACATACAGAAAGTTATGTCATTATGTCAAAACAAAAACAAAACTACTATAGAGGTTATATACGTATTAATTTGTCTTCTATATAAGTATAAGATACAGAAACCCTAATTTGACAGTTCTGATGTAACATACCGAAAGTTATGTCATTATGTTAAAAACAAAACAAAAATTTTGAGATTATGTTCATATAACTGTTGAGTTTGAATTCGAATCAATTTGACAATTCTAATGATTTACAAATGTAACATACAAAAAGTTATATCATTATGTCAATAACAAAAATACTGTTAAAGTTAGTTTTGTATTAATTTGATAAAGTTACTAAAATTTAATTGTGAAATATTATAAAAAAAAGTTCAAAAAGTCATGTATTTTGATTTTCAGTTGAAGTTAAATTTGAATTCATTTGACAGTTCTAATGATTTACCAATATAATATATAGAAAGTTATGTCATTATGTCAAAACAAACATTCTGTTGAGGTTATGTCCATGTTATTTGACAGTTATACAATTATAACATGCAGAAACAATATAAAAATCAGCGTTAATCGTTACTAAAATTTAATTATGAAATATTATTAAAAAAAAGAGTTCAAAAGGTCATGTATTTTGATGTACTGTTGAGGTTAAGTTGGAATTAATTTGACAGTTCTAATAATTTACAAATGTAACATACAGAAAGTTATGTCATTATGTCAAAACAGAACCAAAATATTGAAGATATGTCCATATTACTGTTGAGGTTAATTATGAAATATTAAACAAAAAAGTTGAATATGTCAAGTGAATTTTGATTTACTATTGAGGTTAAATTCGAATTCATTTGAGAGTTCTAATGATTTATCAATATAGAAAGTTATGTCAAAATAAAAACAAAAATACTATTGAGGTTATGTCCGTATTAAATTGACAGCTATATAATGATAAGATATAGAAACCCTATAGAAATCAATGTTTATCATTACTAAAAAAATAATTGTGAAAAATTTCAAAATTTGAGTTTTTACAAAAAAAAATGTAATTATTTTCTAATAAAATTTATTAATTTTCAAAACAATTCAATTTTTGTAATAACAAAGTTATTTGACTAAATTCTTCAGTATAATTTTGAAAGTTACAATATTAATAACGTTTCTAGAGTGAAGTTCTAAGAGAAATAGTGTTTACATTCGAGATGAAACAATTCTTTGGAAAGAGAAGAAACGAATCTGGGTTAAAAAAGCAAAGCTATTTTTACTGATGCAAATATTGCGACGCACTTCCAGAGACGGGTAAACACGAATCGATGTGTATTTTCAGTATTGAAAATGCGTGAAAATATATGACGAAAACAAAAATATTTTCAGTTGAAAATGATTCAAAGATAACATTTCAGTTAAATAAATAAAGAAAAATGTGACAAATTTTGTGAATAATAATTAAATAGGTGATTTTGTAGAATTGTTTTCAATGAAATTGCAAAGTCTCTAAACTTAAAAACTTTCAAATTTTCTTTTAAATAACAATATTTTTGTGTAATTGATAAAAAAAGATAAATTTCATGTTCAAAATTGTTTAAAATATTAAAACAAATTCTATTATTTCAAGGCTTTAACAAGAAAAACATTGATAACAAAAATATCATTAAAATAATTTAGGTTGAAACAGAAGACATTGAACTCGATTTGTTATTCAACTACCATTAAAAAAATACACAGCAAATCGCGTACAAATAAAATTATCATCAGGATATCGTATATCAAAAAAACAAAAAAAAAACAAATGCGAGTAATCGGATATAGCCTTCTGGTTATTTTACAAATGGAATAGGAAAACTTTACTGCTTTTCTAATTGCTTTAATTTTATCGCATTCTTTAATTAGTTCCACAGTAAACAGACAAAAATGAAGAAATTTGTATTATTTACCTAAAAAATAGCGTTTTAAAACCAAATAAACACAATAATTTGAGTATATTTCCATTATGCTTATTTTACTTATCGCTCTTTTTTTATTAGTTTTTTTTTTATAATCAGAAGGAAATGCGGTTAAATTGATAGTAACAATTATGCAATGTTTATGATAATAAAAAGTGTTTTTCTTTTGTTAAATGCGGTGTAGTAATTTGTCAATTGTAACATTAGTCAATATCAACGTTTTATGTGAAGGAGAGCAATGTTTGTTTTTTTTCTCTTTATTGCGTTATTATTGATTCAGTTGAAGTGCGTTTTGTAGTATTTCGACGCTAATTCACGATCAAATATTGAAGACTTTATTGAAATACCAGAATATTTTTTGTTGATGTTTTAAAGGGAATGATGTAAAGAATTTCTGAAAATGAAAGTTTAATTTTGTTAGAATGCAATAAAATAATACTTTTTTCATTACAAACTTTAATTGAAATTTAGTAAAAATTAAGTAACCATAATACATTTCTTGTTTATATTTATATAAAATGAGAGTATTGAAAGAGTTAATCGATTTTATATTGTTATTGCTTAAAGAGTAGACAAGAATCATAATAAAATTAATAGATGAATTCGTAATTATTTCTAAATGAACTTTGAACAGTAAAATGATTATGGAATTATTATTATTTTTGTATTGAATATTTATAGAAATTGTGGGAATTCAAAGAAATGAAGCAAATTATACTGTAATTACACCTATTTAGAATATAATAATGGTAATTAATTATGATAAATATGAACATAATTTCTAATTTGATGAAATATTAACGACAGTTTTTGTTATAGGATTAAATTCTTAATAAAATTATTAATTATGTTTCAATCTACGTTATTTTTTATAGAAAATATTAAGAAAAAACTTTTTTTTTAATATTTTGTTTTTTCGAAATCATTGATAATAGACGAAATTATTTCACTTTATTAATAAAATAGTTATTATATATAAATATTACATGAAATTGTATGAATATTTATAGGAAATAAAATTTGAAGAAAATATGAAAAAAAATCTAATTTCAATAATTTATTGAAATATTAGATTTTTTGTATCAAAACAATAGTAAATGAGATTTATTGTAGCTTTTAATTAAAAAATTGTATTATAAATTAATGTTGAATGCATGAATGTTTATAAAAATAGAGAAAATTTAAAGGATAAAAATCAAAGTTTTATTTTGTTGAAATATTAGATTTTTGTTTCAAAACAATAGTAAATCAGACTAATTGTTGCTTTTTATTAAAAATTGGTAATATATATTAATATTGAATGAATTTGCAAGCAAATTGCATGAATATTTATAAAAATAGAGAAAATTTAAAGGATAAAATTCAAAGTTTTATTTTGTTGAAATATTAGATTTTTTATTTCAAAAGAATAGTAAATCAGACTAATTGTTGCTTTTTAGTAAAAAATGGTATTCTATATTAATGTTGATTAAATTTGAAAGCAAATTGCATGAATATTTATAAAAATAGAGAAAATTTAAAGGATAAAAATCGAAGTTTTATTTTGTTGAAATATTAGATTTTTTTGTTTCAAAACAATAGTAAATCAGACTTATTGTTGGTTTTTATTAAAAATTGGTATTATATATTAATGTTGAATAAATTTGCAAGTAAATTACATGAATATTTATAAAAACAGAGAAAATTAAAAGGATAAAAATCAAAGTTTTATTTTGTCAATAATTTGCTGAAATATTAAATTTTTTGCATCAAATCAATAGTAAATGAGACTTATTGTTGGTTTTTATTAAAAATAGGTATTATATATTAATGTTAAATTAATTTGCAAGTAAATTACATGAATATTTATCAAAATAGAGAAAATTTAAAGGATAAAAATCAAAGTTTTATTTTGTTGAAATATTAGATTTTTTGTTTCAAAACAATAGTAAATGAGACTAATTGTTGGTTTTTATTAAAAATTAGTATTATATATAAATGTTGAATAAATTTGAAAGCAAATTGCATGAATATTTATAAAAATAGAGAAAAAAATAAAGAATAAAAATCATATAAAACATATTGTGAATAATTTGTTGAAATATTAGATTTTTTGTTCAAAAACAATAGTAAATCAGACTAATTGTTGTTTTTTATTAATAAACGGTATTATATATAAATGTTGAATGAATTTGTAAGCAAATTGCATGAATATTTATGGAAATAGTGAAAATTTAAAAAATAAAAATAAAAATTTTATTTTGTCAATAATTGATTAAATTTTATTGATTTATACCAAAACCCTTCAGAAACTAATTGAATTTGAAATATATTAACTATTCGGTCTTTAATTATTATATTTATAATAATTTAAAGAGAATGTATTTGTTGAATTCTTAATTAATTAATTAAAAAAATAATTCGAAAGTTATAATTAAAATGTATAAAATTTCATTTGTAAATGTTGTAATTGCAACTTAATTTATAATATGTAGAAAAAAGTAAATTAAGTAGACTTACTTTGTTATTGTCTGATCCTACTTATGAATTGTTTTGTTTTATTTAAGTAATCCAACTGTGTCAATCGAAGCACAACGAAGAAGTGTTGAAAGTTGTAGTAAAGTTGTAGTAATTGTATGTTCTTAAAATTGTAGGATTTCTGGACAGCGTTCGTATTTGAACCGCGTTTTTGAACCGAAATTAATGACGATGATGGTGGAACAAAAATAAGGAAGGAACGAACGACGATGATGCCTGTGGCAGCGCACTAACCGAACAAAACTAAACTCCCACTCGGCGGGCAGTTGGTTTTTAAACCGTCCGGACGGATCGGGAAAAACTTATGTCTGTATGTATGTAACAGTAAGTATAAAAACAACACAATTGAACGCCAACCTCGTGCACTCAAACTACTACTCTACTCTACACTACTCGAGTCCAAGTCCAAGTGCAAGACCGATAATACCCATTACCAAGAGCAAGAGTATAAGATCAAGACCGAAGCGTACACCTCCTCTCCTTTCGAGACTCTCTCAGGTCTTTATTTAACGCGCTCATCCACTTATTATTAACACTTTGTATGCGAAACTTGTTCTCAAGTCAAGAAGCGCGGCGCTCCATTAAACATTCAAAACTGCTGCTCAAATCGAGATCCATATGCGTCTCTTTTATACACTTTTCATCCTATTCCCTTAATTATCATTAAACAGAATCATTAAGATTATCAAAAAAAAGGATAATTTAATAAATCTATACTTTTTATACTTAGTCATCTAGATTAATAGTTAAAGATAAAATTAAGTTTGAATTACAATTAGAAATTAATTAAAAAAAAAATTGAAAAGTTTTATAGTTTTCGAGATAATTGCAAAAATACAAAAAAAAATGGTTTTTTTTTTTTAAATTTAAACAAAATTATTGAATTTGTGCATTTATTAACATTAATTGAACCTCATTTCTACTAATTACTATTGTATTGAAATTGTATCTCAAACTAAAGAATGTTTTAGGAATATTTTTTCTTAAAATCTCTGAAAATCAGAAATATTTAATATTTATTTGCAATTAAATAAATATTGATTAATTTAAAAAATAGTTACATTTATTAATGCTCAAAATATTGTTACTAATTGAACTTCATTTCTACTAATTACTATTGTATTGAAATTTATCTAAAACTAAAAATGTTTTAGGAACTTTTTTTTGTTGAAATCTCTGAAAATCAGAAACAACTAAATCTCTAATATTTATTTGCAATTAAATGAATATTGATTAATTTAATAAACAGTTACATTTATTAACATCGAATGCTCAAAATGTTGTTATTAATTAGAGTAAATCAAGATTTTAGTGGTAATTACAAAAAATAACTTAAAACTTATTTTATATAAAAATTATTTAGTAACTAAAAAAATAAGAATTTTTAAAAATCTTTATATTTTTTCTTCATTAAATTGTTAATAAATACATTAAATAACTTCTATAAGTTATTATCAAACCATCTTTTATTCATATTATAGCAATATTTCATTTTCATGTAGATTTATGTAAGTTAACTAATAATTAAACAAGTATTTAAATCCATCGAAAACAATGATGATTTAATGAATCACGAGTTAAAATCAACAAATATTTATGTAAAATAAAACATTAGAAACAATAATTTATAAGAATATTATCATTGTTTTATGCTGGAAACTTAATAATCTAATAACCAAAACTAATTCATTTTTTTTTGTCTTGAATTTACTTGAATTTACAAAACTCTTTTTATTTCTTCATTTATGTTAAAACCAAGTTAAATATTGCAAATTACATGTGAATCTAATATAAACAACAATAGTACAACATAAAAAACATAACTTGAAAGGATAATTTAAACTAATTCTATACGTATTCGTATAGTGCGTTTTATATAAACTTGTTCGTCCTTTGCGTTGCAAATTCATTCAAATCGTACGGAAATTCCAGCATCATTAATTAATTATTCCTTCCATTTAAAAAAAAATCGGAAAAAAAGAAAGAATGAAACGAAGTCACAACATTTTGAATTAAACCGATTCAATTGTTGTTTCGCTCACTATATAATCAAACAAACACAGAGAAAACAACGTAATTTATTTGTAAAAATACACAGGAAAATCCAAAAAATATGAACTTTATTTTATTCTTCTGCAATACAAAAAAAAGTAAATTGTTAAAGTAAATTTTCTTGGAAAACTTCTTTTTTGTTGTATATTTACGTGTTTTCTATTTGAATTGTTAATTTATGAACAAATTTTCGCACTTACATCATTTTCAATCGTTTTTTCTGATTTATTCTCATTATTTCCATAAATAAACTGAAAAATATAAATGATTTTTTTTTGTTATTTTAGGAAACTTTGAGAAAATGAGTGTAATTAGAGCTGAAACTTAATTTGTTTAATTACTTATGTTTATTTAAACTTAACGAAATAATGGTAGGAAATGAAGGAAAGTTTCAGAAATATTTGACTTTCTCTTTTAATAATTAACATGTGAACTTAATGTTATGTAATTATGTTTGAATTACAGCTTATTAGTATGCAGATATCATCGATATTTAAAGTAATGGAAATTTGTAGTCTTTTTTTTTGATAATTATAAAATTTAAGTCTTTAATTTAATTTTATAATTACAATTTCTAACTTATTGATTAGTTTCATGTTTACATTGCTGTAATTAGTGCAATAAACACATTTTTTCAGTATTTTCAAAAAAATAATTGAGAAAGAAATAAAATTATAAATTAAAGTTTCTTTGAATAATTATTATAATTATGAAACAATAAAATAAGAAAAAAATTGTAAAATTTTCAACGAAAAACATAATTAAATTGAATTATAAAACTCTTTTTATTTCGGTTTCAAAATATGTTTATAAACATCGACATTTAATTGAGTTGTATACGTAAAAGAGTTGTTGATCTTCCAATGAAGAAACAAGCAAAAAAATGATGTAAAGAACGTTTAAGCTTATTACGCTTGTTTATGGAGTTGGTAGATTTGTTGTGAAGCAAATTTAGCAACAAACAAACCCAAAAAAAGAAAGAAACTAATAAGTATAAGTGTTTGTTTTGAATGAATAATAAAACCTTCGTCACGTAATTGTATTCCCATTTTTCATTCATCATATTTCAATGTTAAATGATGTTAATTTATTGAACAAATCTTTGCTGGAATCGTGAGTAAGAATGCGTAAGAAAAAATAAGTTAATGTGAAAAATAAGAAAATGCAATAATTATTCAAAAAATAATTGAAAAATCTCAGTCATAATTTTTTGTATAAAAAAACGGTTTAAATTGAAAACTTTAGAAAAATTGTTTGAATTATTGATAAATAATCTTAATTTAGAAAAATAAAATCATGTTTTGATATGTAATTAATGAATACATAATCATTTTTATATTAGTAATTTTCAATTTGAAAAATCCAATAAAAATATTGGAAATTTTGATAAAATTTGAAATAAATCAGAAAAAAAACATAATTAATGCTGGGATAATAAATTAATGATATTATATATAAAATATTTTGTATTTAACAAAAAAATCATTAATTTTAAGAATATGTTAAAATTAATTGTTAAATAAATCACTTCAGAAAAAATATCAAAAATGTTTGAAATTTTGATAAATTCTTATAACTTATAACATTGAATAATGATTTTCATATTAACAATTTTTAATTTGTGAACTTACTAAGAAAATCCAATAAAAATATAGGAAATTTTGATAAAACTTTAAATAAATTTGAAAAAAAAAATATGTTTTGATAAATACTTATAACATTGAATAAGAAACAATGTCTTGATATGTAATTAATGAATACATAATGATTTTCATATTAACAATTTTTAATTTGTGAACTTACTAAGAAAATCCAATAAAAATATTGGAAATTTTGATAAAACTTTATATAAATTTGAAGATAAAAACACGTTTTATTAAATACTTATAACATTGAATAAAAAATAATGTCTTGATATGTAATTAATGATTACAAAATGATTTTCATATTAACAATTTTCAATTTGTGAACTTACGAAAAAAATCTAATAAAAATATTGGAAATTTTGATAAAACTTTAAATAAATTTGAAAAAAAAAACATGATTTGATAAATTCTTATAACATTTAATAGAAAACAATGTCTTGATATGTAATTAATGAATACATATTGATTTTCATATTAATAATTTTCAATTTGTAACATACTAAGAAAATCCCATAAAAATATTGGAAATTTTGATAAAAGTTTAAATAAATCTGAAAAAATAAATTTTTTGATAAAAACTTATTACTGAGATAATAAATTAATAATATTATATAAAATATTTGTATTTAACACAAAAATTATTTACATATAAAAATTGTTAAAATTAATAAAACTTGAGAAAATTTTCTAAGTAATTATAAACAATAAACGTAAACTATAACACACTGTTAATTATTACGTAATATTAAACAAGTAGTTGCTAACTTCGTTACATGAAACGTAGTTTCCTTACAATTATTTATTAACGTTATGAAGACGCTTAAATCCACGTATAATCCGAAATTTGCATGTGCTTCGTGCAGTCAGTGCGCGATTCAGATATTTAATAACAACCGTATTATCCTTTCGCTTAAATTACGCAACTCTTACAACAACAATTAAGGCAAATGCAGCAACTTAATTTTGATGAAAACCTGTTTCATTATGTGTGTGTGTGTTTTTTTTTGGATCGAAGTGCATTTGGGAACGGAAATATGTGTATTAAACTATAAAAAGGAGATCAGGTAAGGTAGGCTTCTGCTTTAGACCCTTCTTCGTCCCTTTTCGTGAAAAGAGATAAGAAAAAAAAGATTCTTGCATGAAATGAAATCTCCTGGGACGTTATCGAAATCACCTACTTACGAGATTTTCGAAAAAAAAAGAAGAAAGAAAAAAGGTCATTTTGGGCAGTATGGGAAAGTATTATATAATGGATTGTGCAAGGGTGAACAAGTTTTTTTAGATATTATTTTTACATAGATGAGAAAATGATTTAAATTGAATTTTTCTGAGACTATGAAATTTGAAATTGTTCTATGAAAATACGTGTTTTTCACATTTTTTTACATATTATTCATCATTTGTATAATTAATTGTGAAAATTACAAAGAAATATACAAAAAAAATCTAGAGATTTCCGAAAATATTTACTGAAATCTTCAGTAGAAAATTATTTTTTTCAACTTATTTTTTTCATAATTTTATTACTTTTATTATTATTG